GGGGAGCTGTGTTGCTGTCCTGTTTCATGAGGTCTCTGTTCTCCAGGTGTATGCATTCTGGTGCAGCCTTCTTTCCTGTTGCTCTTTTAGGATTAGTTGCATTAACTATATTTTCGTATTATATGTGGTTTTGGGAGGAGTTCTCTGTCTCATCTCTCACACCACCATCTTGAATCATATTCATCTTCAGTGAGTAGTGGCTTCCTGTATCATCAACCCTGTAATTTCCAGACTCTTGCAAGGTTCTCTATTACTTGTTTTCCATCTGGTTCAAAACTAAAAGTGAGCCAGACCCAAAAGTCTAGGAAAGCCAAAGGTCTGGTGAGGTGACACCCTCACAAGCCACTAGTGAAAGGAGTGGGGAAAAAACTACAACTCCTGTGAGGCAGAGGGGCCACAGGACTCACATTTCCCAGCACCCTTTGTGAGGCTCAAGATTATCACAGTTGGTCTGTGTATGGAGATGCAGGGTGAAGTGTGCTAAAGCCATGGAGAGGTGGCTTTGCAGGATGGCTGTGCATGAGGCAGAAACTGAAGCCCATATGGTGCAGTTGGATATTGCAGGCGGCCTCCCTTTTTGAAATATTGAACATAGTTCATGGTATTGCTTAAGTAGGCAATAAACATATAAAATTATAATATTAAAGTAGAAGGGGAAATGAATTCAGACAGAAAACCTCTGATTGGAAGGATGAATAAATAACCAGGTAACTGAGGTTTGAAAGAAACCCTGGGGCCTTCTGATAATCTGGATCAAGTTTTAGTAATTTGTCCCTTTTTTCTTCCTGATCTTAATGGATATGTAGCCCTTTCTCTCACATTCCTATTCCCAGGTAAGTGGAAATGTGCAATAAAAAGTAAAAACAATGGATGTTGAAGAAGACCCTGCTCCTACGTGGGTAAGAAATTTAAGGGAATCACTCTCTTCCCCTGAGCTCTAATTTTCTATCTGTAAAATGAGGACATAGGGCTGTGTGATCTTACTATCTCTTTCTATTCTAAAGTGTCATGAATTTTTTTTAACATCACTTTCTCTGCGCCTCATTTTTCTTATCTGTAAGAATGGAAATGATGACTTCACAAGGTGACTTTGAGTATTAAAATATAGCAATTGAGTATCTTTTCCTATACAAATGTACTTGATTCCTGAATTTAGTTATTGAGTTTATAGAATGAGTTCAGATAGTGAAGGGTGTAATACTGAATGTTCAGTATTTCATATAAAAAGTGGTGAATTTTGGATAGTGAGGATTTATAAAATGCATTTAGTTCCTGGATATCTATGAATTAATTTCTCCTTCTACTTTAATATTATAATTTTATATGTTTATTGCCTACTTAAGTGATACTGTGAGCTATGTTGAATATTTCAAAAAGGGAGGCCGCGCACAATATCCAACTGCACTATCTGGGCTTCAGTTTCTGCCTCACATATAGACCACCGGCTATAAAGATTTACTTGGGTCTTCTTGATCTTAAGAATGGAGATAGCCTTGTTCAGCTCTGCACCCCCAGGCTGGTAGTGCAGTGCCCATCAGGAATGCCCCATGGATGTTTGTGGCCCTCAGGCAAGTCATGGGACCCTGTTGACTCAAGTCCTTGGCTCAACAGTATCTATCCTGCACAACATTGTTGTAAAGAATGGTAAAAGATAAACTCAAAAAGGACAAAATCAATACTCTCATATAGATACAAAATGAACAGGTGTTAAAGATTTAACATACCTCTTTAGTCAGTGAGAGAACCAGGAGTGTTATAACTAGTTAAAAGAAAGATCCAAAATGAGGACACATTTATTGACCAGGAATATTGGTCTATATGTGTAAATGAAGGTAAAACTAGGTTCTTTCACAGTGAAGATGCAAATCAATTGAACCTCTTCTGGACAGGATAAAATGTGCTTGTCTACAAAGAAGAATTATTTTGTACTGCTTATAGTTATTTATATTTTACAAAGTTGGGTAAATTCTGTAGAATTCTTCTTTAGAATTAGAATCATGTAACCCGAAAGGTGTGCTACAAATAACATATCATTTTTCCATTGAGGCACACATTTTCTTCATATAAATAAGATAATAGTGTGAATCATTTAGTGGTACCTAGTATTTAGCTGCCCTCTAATAAATTGTTATTTTAAAAAGTTGTGTCAAATAGAGGCAATGAAATAGATTGATACTTTATAAATTGATCAGAATTGCAATTCTAAAATTTACTTAATTTATTCCTTAAGTTTGGTATTCATCCCTCCATGTAATTCAGTCCCTTCCCCTTTTAACTATAAGCTCTACTATGTTTTTGTTTAGGTACTAAGAAGAGTCTGCCAATCGCCAAACAAATTTAGACATTTCTCTTTAGAGAAAAATATTATCCTAAAAGGAATTCCCAGACTAACACACAATGAAAATGCGCAATAACAAAATCTGTTTATTCATAAATTTGATTCATAAAACATCACTTTTGTTTAAGCAAAGATTCAGAGGTGTGGGAAAGGGGAGTAAGTTTGATGGAGTAAAAGGAGAAAATACTGAGATCATATCTATTTGGCAATTGTTTTATTAAGATGGGATTTGAGAAAGCTGGGGAGACTTTCTAGTTGGCAAATTCAGTAGTTCTTGGTTGGCTATAAAGGGGCAAGTGCTCGGTTTGAGAATATTTTAAAAGAGGAAGGTTTTCTGTGGATGGCTAGTTCCTGGAACAAAAAGAGAAGGCCTGTGGGATGCTTTGTTCTGTCATAATGCTCCTTATAGTTTGGAAGGATAGAATCACTATGGCTGATAGTTTTGTAACATGAACCAGTTAATATAAGAAAGTATTAAATAAGTAATGTCATGAAATGTTTTTGTTGAATTTAGTTAAAAGATTTCAATGTGTCCAAAATAGATGGGAAATTTCAGGCCAAAAGAACTGTTATGAGGGAAAGAAAAATTATGCGTCTAAGGAATTTGATCATATTATGAAATGATACATCACGACATGAAATTTATTTCCATTCTTTGCTTAGAGTTTACCATGCCCCGATGCCCAAGTCAATCTTTTTCTTTTGTCTAAAGACAGATTCAATGTATTTAATTATTTAAGTAAAAGAACAATCTATTATCCTCTCCCACTCTTGAATAAGGAAAGGTTAAAAGCAGTGAATTCAACTTAGCTGCTCTTAAAAACTGATGTCCCATACTTCTACGTCTTGCCTCCATGATCTGAGGAATGACGTTAATAAAAACACGTGCTATACAGAGAGCTACAGGTAGTAATTGCTTGGAAGGTTACTGCCTGAAAACAATGATATATATAAAAGCAACTAGGGGAGCCCCAGGCCCATGGTGGCTTCTCAAATGTTCAATTCATTTCCACTGTCCCAGGGCATGCAATGACAAGCACATTTTAGTCAAATCTGTTATATTGAGTCTCTAATCAATAAACTCTTATTATGCTTTTCCATTCCCCTGGACTTCTACTAGGTATAATTATAGGTACAAAACCACATTAATATGCAATATAGTTTTTAAAGGAGAACATTTTTCTTACCATAACTTGCTAGTATACAAGTCATAAGAATGGTCAATTATTTTTTTAGTGTGAGTTATAAGTATTAAACTCTCTATCAACCAGCATTTATTGAGGATTATATACTCCTAAGTATATCCTTTTATTCTGTTTTATATAGGAGTGACTCAAAGAGCAGAGATAGCCCATGCATACTAACAATATGGAAACATCCTGAAACTACTTTGGAGTGTCAGTATATTCACTGCATTCAAGCTTTACAGACATGAAAACTGGTCCATGGACGGACTATTTGCTACAGGTAAGTGAGAAGTATAATTCATGCCATTTGACTTCTTCAAAGATTCATGGACTGTGGGGTTATTAATTCCATTGCATCTGATTATAATATCCCTTTGGTACAGCTGGCAGCTTCTCCTCCCTCCCCAGTGTATGTGTGTGGGTGCTGACATGTGGCCAAATATCTGGCCCTTTCATCTCATTCATTTGGGCTTCCATCAGTTACAAAAAGAGGAATCGGGAAAAACGTGCCCATCTCATAAAACTTACTGGTAGTGATTTTTGTGAAGAGGCGGGAGTCAAACCAACTGTTCCTTGAACAGATGTTCCTTGGCATGGTCCCGGGAGTTGAAAGAGTGGCAGATAGACCTGCCCAGGATTCGGAATGAAACAGCACAAATGGTGACGTGCACCCCTTGCTTTTTTGAAACTGGGACAGCAGTTAGCTCATTAATATGGAGCAAAGTGTTTGGGAAAGATAGTGGCTTTTTGTTCTCCCTTTGAAAATCTCATACAGTTGGAAGGTTTGATGTGGTGACAGCATGAAAATATTTTCTGTTGGACTATATGTTCTGTTGGGAAATATTTTCAGTTGGGAAAGTTGGACTTGTCTGAATGAACCCATGGGGAAGAATGAAAGTCCAAGTAAATCATACAAGCGGTAGTTTGTGAGCTGTGAGCATGGCATCCTCTGAAGCTAAATGCTGTCAGACCAAAGGTGAAGGCTACTTGAGCCGAGCACTAGGAGCTGTCCAATTCTATGAAGTAGAAGTAATCTGGTCATTCATGAATGGCATTTCACTGTTTTGAGGAGAAAAAGAAATATATCAAACTATAGAGGCATTAGCTCCATCTGTGGAAAGAGAGACATTTATCTTTGCCATGTTGATTGGCAAATACTTATTTGAATCATTCATACTGTTTTAAGGGGGGAATAGAAATGTTACAATAAACTGGAACCATGGCAGGAGAAATTGCTCATACATCTTCCTATTACTATTTAGCTCTCCCTGTGTTGTATTCTATCTGTCCTGAATTCATAACTCAAGAGCTTCCTGGAAGACAGCTAGCTATTCTTCCTTGCATCTGCTCCATCACATTATGTAAATGAAGCTAAATAGAAGACATTATCTATGTTCAGGGAGAACACTTTGTTTTGAGTCACATATGAGCATAGATGTGGAGGTGTTTTGCGGTATGTGATACATTTCTCTAAAGGTGAGGAGGCAATGGTAACAAAGTACTGGCATTTAAGAGGAAGAGAAAAAAAATTGAAGCTCATGAGTTTTTTTTTCTTAAGATATGTATGATTGTCCCTTTTATTTGCCTTCAATCTTAGTCCTTCTATCTATTCAGAAAGAGGAATGTTGTTTTCTTTTAGTTAAGCTCTTTTGTGGATAGAAATAATCATGTAAGGGAAAAGAGAATCATTCTTTTGTGGGCTGAAACTGAAAGAAAATTTGAAAGCAAGGAAAAAGGAAAAAAAAACATTCTTATATGTTTGTGCCATTCTCATGATAAGGAACTTACCTCTTTGCAACTCTACCTTTCCCTGAACTTCTGTTCTGCTCTTTCTCTCCCACTCTGCCTCTGACTGATTTTCTCAGCCATAATTTTCCTTTGGTCATGGCCTCTCATGACCTCTCTAGCCACTTTCACTTTATTCACCTTTAAACCTGATACTAACTACTGGTATCTATTAGGTTACCCTCAGGAAACAGAAACCACACTAGTTATTTTAATGGATACAATTTAATTTAAGAATTATTAACCAGATATTGGAGAATTGGAAAGGCAAAGGAGACACTGATGAATCACAGGGGTCATAACGTCAGGAAGTGACCACCCTGGGTTCAGGGACAGTATCAAGAGTTTAAGATGGTTTAAATGTAGGATACTGGGTGGGGGCTTTGAAGAATTAGAATTCAGGAGTCTTGGGTAGGAGTGTACTATGAAAGGTAGAGGAACTTCAGAAATTCCTGGGAGATCTCACATTGCTGGGATTCATGTCTGTAAGAAGAGTTACATCTGCTGGCTGATGCAAGTTCCCTGGGAGCTCAGATTAGGGCCTAGGTAGAGCTGGGACTCAGAATTTTGGGAGAGATGCCTGGCCAATATTATAACCTGAAGAAAGAACCTAGAAAGGGATCCACTGGCAGGGACTACGTCTTGGAGAGGTACCAGGCAGCTAATGCTTTTTTTTCACTTGGAGAGGGGAGCAATGAGACTCTTTATAGGAGTATAGGGGAAAAAATGCAAAATGGAAGCAGGAGCTGTACAGGGTGACCCAGTTAGGACAAGGAAATGGCTCTTCTTCCCCTTTGAACTTTCCAGTCTCCCTCTAGCTCCATTTACTGGCAGAAACAGGGAGCTGGATGGCAAGGGAAATGTGCTTTGCAGAGACCCAGGCAGGCCCAGTGTCTCAAAGCAAAAGAGAGGAAGATGTATTTGAACTGGAAGATAGTAATTCAACAACAAGAATAATAGAAACTGTGGCCACTTAGGCACCTGGGCTATAAAGTGGATAGTTTTCCTTAAAATCAGCAAAAGGCATTCATTGGATTGTTATGTAGTCCAGATATAAAATACATAGATGTGATATTGTTGATGACTGATTTTTAATTTTAATTAAGCTTTTTACTATAAAACAACTGTACATTAATATGAAGTTTTAAGAAATAACACAGAGAGATCCCATGTGTACCCTTTCCTCCTTCCCCACTAATGATAATATTTTACAAAACTGCAGGACAGTAACATAATGAGGATATTGATATTAGTACTGTCAAGAGCATTTCCATCTCCACAAGAGTCCCTCCGGTTGCTCTTTTTTTAACTATCATCTCTTTGAGCTGGCTTTAAGATGGATTGCTTGCTACACAGTAGGGGCTTTAAAATAATTACCAAATGAACTAATCTAATTAATTATCTCCTGTATGTTAAATAATATTGTAGGCACTGAGTAGGGTATATATATCATGTAGTGTGTGTGTGTGTTTATAAAACTATCAGTTATTAAAAATCACTAACAGCTGAAATGGAAAGATTGTCAAACCACAATGTAATAGGTGGAAAGCTCTCTTTGGTCTCCGAGCACAGCTGTTGCGTCTTGTTCCTCTCTGTCCGCTGCTGGTGCCTGATGTAGCATGTTAGTCGTCACAGTCACTGTGACTTCCTATAGGAGTTTAGCAGAGGGAGAGGCACACTTTGAGTTGCTGGGAAGTAATCTATCTTCTATTTTCCAAAAGTTCCACAGAAAAGGAGTTCTGTAACATTTCTAGATAAAGTATCCTCACATTTCACATTTCTTTACCAAGTTAGTGAATTCTTGAGGTGAATCCTATCCCTACAAATAAACTGAGGTGCTCACAGTTCTGCCTTGGTAGAAGCAGAGGAAGCTGAGCATCGTTCTTCACACATATGCTCTTAGATATTTAAGATCAAGTGTCCCCTCTGTTTCAGCATACATTCTCTGAGCCCAAATGCCAGCACCTCATAGTTGACCATATATCTAGACTGGTGGTCAGTGAGTCAAATATTAATGCCCCTCATACTATTACACACATGAAAAAATAACTACAATGAATAAATAAAAATAGCAGTATATGTTACTAAGATTTAACTTACCGTTCTTCAGGGGTAGGTGTTAATTCTCCCTGTAAACATAGCCCAAGGAGGGGCTCTGAATTTCATATACTTTATTATAAAGTATATCTGCCTGGGAATTACATAAATGGTCGCTTTCCAGTTACCTAAGGAAGGAAGTAGATATACTTTATCTGCAAGTATAAAAAGTCCTTGACAAATGACCAGAATCACAGATGTTGAACCTCCTGACCCCTCACTCCTGGGCCAGGGGATGCCAGAGGCTTAGAGAAACCAGTAAGGACCCGGATGGGACAGAAACAAGCCATGTTTAATGAAAGGCAAAAGCAGGAAGTGCTGCTCATCGAAGGCAGATGAAAAGAGATCTTTTTGGTTTACATCATAGGTAATAAGAGAACATCAACTTTGACTTTGTGTATTTAATAACACTGGGGTATACTTAGGGGGCTTTCTAAATAATAAGTATTTACAGGATCATATTTTTTTTTATAGCATCCTGGTTTCTGTTTGGTTGACTGCACCTTAAAAGGCTTATTCATTGGGTGAAAAGCTATCTCTGAGTGCCTAGTGCTATAAAATAAATAGAAAGAGTGCAATTTGAAGTAGGGTGAGTTCTGCTTTATGCAATTTTCAGTGAAGAATAAGAATAAGGATAGCACATTATAGCACTAGACTACATTTATGCTTGGTATACCTTGTTTCATGGAAATTCATTTAATAGATTCCTTATAGAGAAAATTTAGACCGAGAGCTCACACCAAAAATTTGGAAACTTACGGCAGAACTCTGTCATTTAAACTTTGTGGTTGCCATAAATTGAAATAATCAGGGTGACGTATAGTCTGCAATATAGAAAACAATCTATTATATATTAACAGAAAAATATCCTATCTTTTGGGTTTTAATGGTCACAAAATAAATTAAGGTTTAAAAATTTCTCATGCATTATTATCTATTTTAGTGCTGTTACTACATTCAGAATTAAAATATTTTTAACTATAACTTGGTATTAGAAACAAAATGAAATGAGAAACTTAAAAACAAAATATTAATCATTTTTTAAGTAAGAGAGATTATATGGTATAACCTATGTAAAATATTGTAGTTTTCTTTTTTCATTTTTTGTTTAGAAAGCAAAAATAAAGATTGAACTCATATCTGTTTCTCTGTACCTTTTAGAAGCTTGACTCTTTACCCCTTAAAGAAACATCACATCTTTTTCAAAAAGAGCCTAACAAAATGGAGTCAATAGTTAATGGGAAAAGACAGATCTAAAAAGTTGTATTTCAGAATTTTTCTCCCCAACCTGAAGTAAAACAATAGAGGGTAGGAATAAAACTAAATGAACTTGTGTGAAATGGCTGAGAAATTGAGATCCCATAGGAAATTCCTCAATATCCATTTTTATTCTCAAAG